TTTTAGGGGGACAATTGTGGAGAGGAGCCTGAAAATGACTCTCCAGCACCCCAGATAACTACCAGTTCATCTGGTTTAAATGTGATGGTGATAGTGGCATTAACTAGTACCCAGTACTGGGAGAGAACCAGGTTACAGCACATGTCTTTTCAACTCAGGAATAAGTGCTCAAAACGTGGGTAAAAGTGTGTTAAAAAGTCGGGGAACATGTTTCAAATGACAGCAGACTGCTGCTTGTTGGCAGGCTGATTCAGTTCACTTGTCTCACACACACCCAGGGGGGAAAAGATAACAGATTTAGCCAGGAATAAGTGTCTGAATCATGGGCACATTAGTGTTTAAAGTCGGGGGAACTGTTTTAATTCAGGACCAGGGTGAAGAGATGACACATTGACCCAGGAATAAGTGCTCAAAACATGGGTAAAAGTGTGTTAAAAAGTCGGGGAACATGTTTAAAATGACAGTAGACTGCTGGTTGTTGGCAGGCTGACTCAGTTCACTTGTCTCACACACACACACACCCAGGGGGAAAAGATAACAGATTTACCCAGGAATAGGTGCAGAGAGAAGCCTGAAAATGACTCTCCAGCACCCCGGAGAGCTCCAGGGAGAATTGTGAAATATTGCTACTAATTCATAACTTTTGATAACAAGCTCTGTTCGGTTCAGGCTTTTCTGTACCCCCCCATTTCCACGTACCCCGCATCCAACGGTACCATGGCCGAATCTCTAGGACCTCGGCTTCACTTTTAGCACACACCCAGGGGGAAAAGATAACACTTGTACCCAGGAATAAGTGTTTGAAAGGCGGGGAAAAGTTGTTTGAAATAGTATAATACCTCCAGGGTGCATAACTGCACTTTACAAGCCAGAAATAATGTTTAAATGGTCGGGGAAAGTATTTTTAAATGTCTGGAAGAGAGTTTTAGCCAGTCATTTTGCACGATATCATTTAACATTGACGCTCTTGAGAGCTAAAACCCAGGAATAAGTGTTTGAAAGGCGGGGAAAAGTTGTTTAAAATAGTCTGATACCTCCAGGGTGCATCACCAAAAATGTACAAGCCAGGGAAGGTGCCTGAATCCCGGATACTTTAGGTCTGTCACTTAGGGTAACCGCACCACTCCGATGCTTCCGAGAGCGGACGTCCATTATTTGTAAGGCACCTAATACGGAGAAGGACACACACAGCCTGCCCAGGTGGACGCGCGCAAACAGATGGTGAGCAGGCACCGCGGTTTTGAACTACAGTATTGAATTTGACAGAAAACAACAATGAAACGCCAGCAGAAGAATAGTCTAATGAGTTGGGTGAAAAAAAAGACAGGAGATGTGAGTTGGTTTATTCAGTAAATTAGCTCAGGATAATTGGATGTACTGTCTACACCTGTTGATGTGAGGCTAATGCAGGATTTGCTAGCTTGATGCTACCGGCATTTAGTGGCAGTGACTCAACAAATTGCCTCTTAAAATGTATCGTCAGCAATGTATGACAAGCAGACTGCTTGTTTAATGTTAGACTCACACCAATAGCTCAATATGATCATAACACGATTGCTTTCATATCAGAGATCAGATGAGGTGGAGCTGCCTCCAGCAATAGAGGATGAGGCAGAGAGAAGCAGCAGCACAGGGTTGCAGCAGCCAGCAGGTATGTTATATGCTGTAGTCAGGTGATTTAAATGTATCAATGAAAGGAAGAAGTGTAGGCTACATGATAAGAAGGGAATACAGTTTGAATAAAAGTAATACAGTACAGTGTAACACTGTACTTTATTACTTTTTAATGTACAAATACTTTGTTACTGTACGATAACAATAACTTTGTTACTGTATGATAACAATAACAACTAGAGAATGCAATTCCTGAAGAAATTGCTAGTGGGAATGCTTTATGCTGAAAAGCTGACGCTAAACTGCTATGCTGAAATGTAATGTGTAAGAAGAAAGTGAAGAATTTTGATTGAAATGAGACATGAACACTGGGGGCTTGAATGTGTGATGAGAAGAAAAGAAAGTAAAAAGGCTTGGAAAAGCAGCAGAATATTTGAACTGCAAACTTTTGAACTAACTTGATGGTGAATCATCTGTCGCCATGCCAACGGCATTTGATGACATCCCATAATACGCTTAGATGTGTGGATGGCTGCATCGTTACCAAACCTGTGAAGTTTTGGGCCGTTTGGAGCATTTTCACTGAAGTTATGAGAAAACCGTGTTTCATGGCGAGCATTGTGTTGCCATGGCAACAGTATTTGAAGAAACCCCATAATTGACGTAGAGCTGTTGAGGGCTGGACCGGTGATATACAAGCGAGGTTTGGGGGACGATCGGACCGTGTCCATTGGACTTACAGCAACATCGTGCTTCATGGCGAGTGGTCTGTCGCCATGGCAACGGCATTTAATGACACCCCATAATACGGTTAGATGCGTTGATGGCTGCATCGTTACCAAACCTGTGAAGTTTTGGGCCGTTTGAAGCATTTTCACTGAAGTTATGAGAAAACCGTGTTTCATGGCGAGCATTGTGTTGCCATGGCAACTGCATTTGAAGAAATCTCAAAACTGTCTCGTAGATGTCTTCACGGCTGGACTGTTAGCACACATGTGAATTTTGAGCACTTTTTGAACATTTTCATAGGAGTTAAAGGGACATCGTGTTTTATGGCGAGGGATGCGTTTCCATGGAAACGGCATATGGTGAGATTTCAGATTTGGCGTAGAGCTGTTGAGGCATGGACCGGTGATATACAAGTGAAGATTGGGGGACGATTGGACCGTGTCCATTGGACTTACAGCGACATCGTGTTTCACGGCGAGTGGTCTGTCGCCATGGCAACGGCATTTGATGACACCCCATACTACGCTTAGATGCGTTGATGGCTGCATCGTTACCAAACCTGTGAAGTTTTGGGCCGTTTGGAACATTGTGTGTGAGAGAGAGAGAGAGAGAGAGTGAGTGTGTGTGTCTGTGTGTGGCAGAGAGCGAGAGAGAGAGAGAGAGAATGAAATGAACAGTTAGAACTGACTGCTGTCATGTGAACGTTTTGTGGAAGAACGATAACAGATATCTGTGAAATTTCAAAACGTGAAGCATGTCAAGGAAGTTGAGTATCTGAAGTGTAATTTTTGTGTACTTTCGGGTTAATAATGTTGCCTTTTTGGCAGTTTAACTAAAGGTGTGCGGCTGCTGCTGTGAGGAAATATCTGCCTGAAATTACAATGGGCTTTAATGGAGACATGTTGAACGTTTATGTCACTTCATGCCCTCAAGAGGCATTTTGTTTAATTATTTTTGCTTAATTATTTGTCATTTTTCAAGCTACGAGATTATAAAATGATGTCTCAAGAATGTAGGGTTTGGGAATTATGGCAGTTTTAAAAAAATATATGAAGGCACATTTCAAGAATTCCCACACTCTAGCTGTGACATCACGCACTCTAGTTAATGTTCAAATCTGAAGAAAACCTCTTTAACAAGGTCTGAACAATGTTTAATATCTCTAAAAGTAAGAATCAGATTTAAAAGTTGTGTTCCACGAATAATGTCAGAAAGATGTGTAACATTTTAAAGTTGGAATGAGGTTTCTGAGTGAAAGTATGAATGAACAGTTAGCAGTTGAAGTCGCATGAAGATTTGTTGAAGTCTGAAGAGTATCTCCATTGACTTCCATGTTAAAAATTGGATGAATTATGGGATGTATCTCTGGAATTATGAAAGTTATGAATGATAAAAGTAATAGCCTGCGATTCCCGACCGAGCTGAACGTTTTGATGTTTGAACGGAGTTTCTGCGATGTTGAATGTGGGAGGAGAAGAGGGCCAAAATAAGTGGCCGGAATAATAATAATCATTTTGTCTGTAGCATAACATATAGTTGGAATGCTGTATCAGCATTCCCACTAAATAATCCACAGCTCCTCTCTGCTCCAGAGGATAAAAAAGAAAAATTCAAAAAAATTCAAATGTTCAAGGCAGTAAACCTAGGGGAAACACTGAAGGTTGATTCATTGTTGGGATTGATTGAAAATTCAATGTTCTTTCAATGCTGATCATAGCAAGCACATTCACTGTTCTTTCAATGTCTGACATCAATGTTGATTTCAATCTTCAGCGTGACCATATCTCAATGTTGATTCAATTACTTTTTGCTATCTGGGTAGCCTCTTTGCTAGCTCTTTGCTCCATGCTATGTGCCCTGTAGTTAGTTCACTTCGCTTGCGTTGGTGTTTTCCCCCTTTCTCTGTGTAATGGCAACTTTGTTGTTCCAATGTCCTACTCTTTTATTGCCATTACTTCACAGGAGATGGAGTGATCCAGACGCAGACACAAACAGATGATTTCCGGTCCTTTGGTGCAGTTTAGAAGGATGTTTATTGAGCGTTTACATTACCAGGGTTTAATTATTCAGTCAATGGTTGTGGTATGAGCATCTGCCGGGCTGGTGGAATCGGTATGCTCTTTCCTCCTGTGTTCTCGCTCTTCCAGTCACCTATGACCCCTTTTATACAACCGATGCATCTAAACCCCGCCACCAAGTGTTCAAAAATAGTATTAAAATATAAATTAAATAAACTGACATGCCAACACCACCCATAAAATGGCTCCTACACTCTGCTTGACTTTCCAAGATTTGGCATTGCTGCCTCGATACCAAAAGTTACCTACACCTTTTGGGAACAGTTCTGTAGTTTTGAATCAAGATTTGTCAAGGATTGTAGTGGAGCAGGTTTAAGTGTGGCTCACTCGCTTGCGGTCATACCGGAACGCCATTATATGTATTTTCTATTGTTAATTTGTATATACTCGCCAATTTTTATCATTTGTATCTTATTTTAAATATATATATCTTTAAGTTGTGTAATGCTTGACATCACTGCTCTGCCTGCCTGCCTGTCTGTCTTTTTGTCTGTCTGTCTGTCAATGAGAATAGAAACCCTGACAACATAACACGTATGTCAGGGCAGCGGTCAGAAAGAGCAACAAAGACACCTGCTGTCAGCTGGAACTCTAAGTGAATTTTTTATTTTAATATGACTTAATAAAGGGTTGGTGAGTTTTTCATTGACGTGTGAGATACATTCATCAAACAAGCCAATTAAATCAGTTCATCATAGATTCTGATGACCTTCGACCCCAATCAGGTGGTCGGTCAGGACTTCTGAGCCAGGAGCGTGCTCAGTTTGATCTTCCCGTCCATGGAGGCTGTCAGGCAGGTGCCGCAGTCCACGGCCGAGCACCAATCAACTGTCACCACCGGCGCTTTGTGCCCGCCCAGTGAGAGCACACTCTCCAGAGCTGGCTCCCTATCGGTCAGCTGAAATGAGGATGGGGGGGACATGTTACAAACTTAGAACATAAAACCAAATATAAATTTTGATCCAGCAAGGGGATCATAGAAACCCAGAAAAAGAATACAAAACATATATACACATTTGAAAGAGCATTTCAAGAGGCGATCGCTAAGGGTATTTACTCTGTAGATGAGTCCTCCGCTGCTGGAGCAGGTCAGGATGTGTTGGCCTTCAGAGTCGAAGGCAAACAGCCGACCTCGAGGAACCTGCACCTGAACAATAGGACATTCACACATTCATACATCAACTGGTCATACATTCATTTGATTCAAAGAGATTATAACACATCAATAAATATATGAAGCTGCTGTAGGGTGATGGCTGACCTGTTTGTATCCGCTGTAACCTGACAGGATGAAGGGCCCCGTGGCATCCTGAGCTAACGCCTGCTCCGACTGCTTCACCCCACATCGGTGGATGTTCCACTGGATGAACTGAAAACACATGTTCACTGTGTGCTATAGCAAACATGCTCTGATACATTGAGACATGTCTTTTAAAGTGACTTTAAGAAATACTAGACACCAAGTTAACCTGTACCTTGCCATCTTCTCCGATGCTGAAGACTGTGTTTTCATCGTAGCTGAACTCCACACTGTACACTTCTCCGTCGTGAGCTCTCCAGCTCATCGCACTCTCATACCGCTGCATATCTACAGCAAGGAATCCAGAGACATTTTCTGTATTGCCCGATCAATATTCACACATTTAAGAAGTCTATGAGATTCAAACGTTACAGAAAGTACCCAAAAAAGTAGAACTATGTTTACATCAATTGCTCCTTGATCACCACAAGGGAGGGTGCAGGGCCTTGCAGTAAAAACAGCTAGTAATAGTGGTCAAACAGGAAATAATTTCAACTGTCCAACTCTCCCCAGAGGCCAACTGTGCTGTGTAAAGTACTGACCTGCTTCACAAAGATATTATAACACACAGGACTGATTTAAACTTTTGAAATTGTTGTAAAAAGTGTAAAAAATAAGAAATGATCATGGTTTTTAATGATAGTCAGACAATTGAGTCCGACTGACCGAACAGGCGGATGACTCCGTCAGCGGCTCCGGTCACCAGCAGGTTCCCGTTGTGGTTAAAGGCGGTGCAGTTCACGGCTACTGGGTCAGGTTCTAAAGAGAATTGGAGCTGAGGGACAGAAATATTATACTCAGGCGTGGGCACTGTGCATCATTCTGGTTTAAATATAATCATCAGGGTAAAAAAAAGAAAATGTCCAATACAGTTAAAAAAAATCTAAATAAAATACATTATCAGATTACTGTTCCGTTTATACAAAAAAAAAATGCATTAATAACTAGCAGGATAAGAATGTATCATATTTTAACGAACAATTTATTATGAAGCACATGTGCACATTGAAAGAAGTAACATGAAACGAGAAACCAAGATATTTATCTTGGTTTCTTCTTTTCTAAGGTAAAATTGTTCTGTTGTTTTACAAAAAATTATCTTATTGATATGTATTTTGTCTTGTACTTTCTTGCATTGGATTGATATTAAATAAATCAAAAAGCAATTGGTAGTTATCAGGTTACATTACTGTTATATTGTATTTAGGGATGCACCAATGCTACATTTCTTGGCCGATGCCGATGTTAATTAAAACTATTTGGCCGATGCCGATACCGATGTTTTATGTTTTTTTAATAAGGTTTTCGCGCAAAATGGTTTCAGTTTCAAAGGCTGAGCAAGTTCGTTATTATAACACCATAATACGCTGTTTAGAAAGTACGCAGCGGATCACCTGCAGCTCTGCCCGCTGTGAGGGGACCGGTGAGCGGAGCAAAACATACCTTTAGAGTTAGACCTATCACACTTAGCTATTTTATCTACCTCTGAATCTACCTAAACTAGTTATAAATATATTTATTCTTTACTGTCGGATCACTCATTACTGGATCAGCGAGCTGCATGAGACGGATAGGCCTACGGACGGGCTGTCAGGAGAGGGGAACACTTTTTGCAATCGTGGATCTCTGGGTGAAACTGAAATAGTCCCACACTGCCGACATGTTGTTTTTTGTTTTCTTTAGTTCATGTTTTTTTTATTTATATAAACAAACTACCGGTGCCGCAGGTGTTATGACGGAACGCGGAAAAAAATAACAAAAGCATCGGCGGCTGCCATCGGTGAATGTCACCTCATTTGCCGATGTGCCGATAGCAGTAAATAGGGCGAACATCAAGTTTTAGGTTTTTCTTTGTCCTCACGTTCACTTCTCTCAAGCTCTTTCATTATGGGTTGTTGGACCATTACTAGAAAGGTGCCTCCCTGCAGCCGTTGTCAGCTCCTCTAAGAGACTGTGTTTGTTGTTTGAGAAGATGCTGCTATTTTAGTTAATAAGGATTCTTGTGTTAAACTTTCCTGTCGGCTCCCAGACCGTAGTCGAGGAAAACAGGGGATGACTCTCTGCAGTCTTCCAGGGCCGAAGCAACAAACTTCGGGTTAAATAACCCACTTTTCAATAAGGCAGACAGGCGAGCCGTTGCATTTATTGAGGTCTTTGTTACAGATCTAACTTTGAAGACACTCAACAGACCTATTTTGCTGCTGCTTCGTTCGCTTCAAAACACATACCACCTCACTCTCGCTCGCTCTACCATGTACACACACAAATGCACGCGCCACACCCATCTCTCTCCCTTACGGCCCGTCCACACAGCGGCGTGCGTTGAAGCTTGCTCCATTTTTTGGAATATGAGTTTACTGGCAGGCCGCAAACCACTTCACGGCGTATACTGCCACCCGGAGTCCCCGGAATTGGGGACTGGCTTCAGTAGAAGCTGCTGGGACTCCCAGCAGCTTCTACTGAAGCCTTCCGAGTAAATCGCCAGAACGCCGACACCTCCTCATCTCCACCGCTCCCATGTTTTCTTTTGTGTTGCCATAAGTTAGTCTCTCTGCGTTTGTGCGCTGGGCTAATGCTAATGCTAATAATGCTAATGCGAGGATAATAAAATGGCGGCTTCACAAAACTTTTTGGGAGTTTTACGGGAAGTGGTTTTTCTCCCACGAAAGTCCCTGCTCTCTAGCAGGGACTGAAAAGGGGGTAAAAATGGTTCTGATGAATAATTTAGTTCAGGGGGCTTTTTGGTGTGAACGCAAATATATCTGAGTTCTGATGAACTAATGTGGGAAAAGTACTCCGGTGTGAACGCGCCAATTGTAAATTCAGCCTCATCTTTCATCACAGCACCAGCTGCACACCTTTAGTTAATCTGCTAAAAAAGCCACATTATTGACCCGAAAGTACACAAAAAGCACACTGAGACGCTCCTCACGGTACTGACATGCTGCACACGTTGACATTTTACCGATAGCTGCTACGGTTATTCAACAAAAGTTAGAAATGTAAGAGCAGGGTTCATACACTTTTTCACCAATGATTTTCAATGACTTTTCCATGACTTCTCCATGACCTTTACCTAATTTTCCATGACCAAAAAAATTACTCTTTCTCAGCGGTACCACTGAAAATGGTTTATTTTAACATGGAACAGGAAAATAAGGTCTGCATATGAAACATGTTGTGCCTATCTAAAACAAATCAAATAGTAGGCTTACTAGCTTCTACACGCTAAAGCAACTAAAATCTCTCACCAGCAAAATACCTCGTCAGTTAAATGCCATTTTACGTTTCATTACTATACGATACAGTATTTATTATCATTATAGTATTACTATTTCGGCGATTAGATAAAATATAAATTATATTTGATGCAACTTTAGTTACATTTCCATGACTTTTCCAAAACTTTGGGAAAAATATTGTTTTCCATAACTTTTCCAGGGCCTGGAATTAGCATTTTGAATTTCCATGACTTTTCCAGGTTTTTAATGACCGTAAGAACCCTGTAAGAGGTTTATCTCTCATTCAGATCAATGGAAAGGCTCTCCTTTCCCTGATCACTGCACATCTCCATAGAAACCTTTGATTTCTGGGCACACAGGTGTTATGATTAGGTGCTCAGCACAGAAAAAAAACCCGACAAACAGACTGGAGTTTAATAGATTGTCTCAGCCTATACTGTCTGATGGAAACTCCAAACACACTTCAACATCTTCCACATATTTTATACATTATTGGTGACACATGGTTTTAGTTCAAAAGTTTGCAGTTAAAATATTCTGCTGCTTTTCCAAGCCTTTTTACTTTCCAAATATTCCTGCTTCTTCACTTTCTTCTTACACATTACATTTCAGCATAGCTGTTCAGCCTCAGCTTTTCAGCATAAAGCACTCCCACTCGCAATTTCTTCAGGAATTGCATTCTCTAGTTGTTTTTCTCCCCCTCTCAACCACACACACCTTCAAAATAAAAGCCCAATAGTTTTCCTGGGAAAGCGCTGGAAGAGGGATGTTTTTCAAAATAAAAGCCCTAGAATATCACTGTATCCAAAAAAGAAGCTCAGGATGAGGATTTTTGCTAAATAAAATATAACTAAAAATACAACTAGTACTACTACTACTACTAATACAACTACTAATACTACTACTAATACAACTACTACTATTACTACAACTACTTATGCAACTACTACTACTACTCCTCCAACTACTAATACTAACATTACTACTACTCATACAACAACTACTATAACTACTGCAACTACTTATACTATAGCTACTACTACTTCTACTACTATTACTAGTATAGCTACTACTTCTATTTCAGGACATTGAGGCTATACAATTGGTTGTTTATACCTTTTTTTAAACCTTTTCTTTTAAATATTAAGCTTCTTCACTATTTTTCCTACTCTTCCAGTTTAACATTTCAAGTTTTCAACAAAGTCATTGCAATGCATTTGAGCTGTAACAATTTTGATTCAAATCATTTCACTGTTCTGCATTTCTCCGCTAAGTTCAGCAACACACTTACTTGTTTTTTGTAGCTAAAAGCAGCTACAGAGACCATTCAAATCATCATTAAAAACACACCTGTTCACCCTGGCCTTCGGGCCCTAGCCCTTTCTTGGTCCCCCGGCTTCCTTTATTTTTTGTTTGCCCTTTGATTGTCTGTTTGTTTTGTTTGTCCACCATGTACAGCGACCTTGGGTCCCTTGAAAGGCGCTATATAAATATAATTTATTATTATTATTATTATTATTCAACTAATAACATATTCAGCTTTTCAGCTAAATTCAGCAACAACTGTAAACACAGTTTACAGCATTCACACGCATTTTCTAGTTTTATTTATTGTTCTCATTGTTCATAAGTTTGTGTTATGACTGAAACATTTTTCCAGGTTTTAAATAAAGCACAATAATTACATTTAAGACGGGTTCCCCTTTTTTAAGAAAAGTATCGAAATCGCAATTCTTGACTTGGTATCGGTATCGAAACAAAAATGTTGGTATCGTGACACTAGTCAGCTCTACAGGGCCCTAAAGCCTGGGGCCCCAAGCCCTAGCTTATTAGCTGAAAAACTGTTTCTAATGAGCTGGTTGTTACCTGTTGTTTGACCGTCTTTGTGTCCCAGAGCAGCAGCTGGCCAGGGACAGGGACAGGAAGTCGAGGAGCGGAGTCTCCGCTGAGAGCTGCAGCAGAGCAGACGAAAGACGAGCCGCTGGGACTGCAGGCTAGAGACAGGATGCTGAAGGACAGAGGACACATGCTTTATCACCATCAAACAGTTATATTATTGCTACATGAAAAAATGCAGTGTCTCACTTTTATTTGTTTTGCACAACCACTCCAGAATGATCAGTGCTCTGGTAAAACTTGACATATCAAAGTGGCTAAATGAGACTACTAAAGGTCATCACGCCGAAGAAGAGTTGGCCAGACCATCAAAACTCTGTTTACAATCTACACCTAAGTTTGCAAAATCTACAAAGAAGTAGAGCCCGTTTTTTTGTTTGAATTAAATCCTGCATTATGCTTAGTGCCGAATAATTAAATATAAACACAACTTCAAAAACATGAGACATTTGAATGCTACCAGTGGTTTGTGTGTCTTTGGTCATGGTGTCACAGAAGTGAGATATGATGGTTCCTGAGCTGAATGTCAGTGAACAGGGAACTGATGAAGGGACAGTTTACCGTGGGTGGGTTTCATCAATGTTCATCTCATAAAGATTCTTCTTGGCATCCGTGTCATACAGCCGCACTGTGCCAACTCCACTGCCTAGTAACAACTGAACACACACACACACACACACACACACACACACACACACACACACACACACACACACACACACACACACACACACACACACACACACACACACACACACACACACACACACACACACACACACACACACACACACACACACACACACACACACACACACACACACACACACACACACACACACACACACACACACACACACACACACACACACACACACACACACACACACACACACACACACACACACACACACACACACACACACACACACACGTACGTTACCTTTGACATGCTTTGTGCTGTATTGAATGTGTCAGTCTTTGTTTTTCTTCTTTTTAGTTGTTTGTATTGTGTATATTTAGGAGTGTGTTGCGTGATTAATTAACAGCACTTTAGTGATCAGATTAATTCCTGAGCAGTTTATCTAAGACTGAACCCTGAGGAATGCTGACTGTTCTACATCGTATAGGCTTCGCCCTCTAAGGCTATCGCTATTGGGTAATCCCCTGTGCATGCGCAGCACTGAAAGACTTGTAATCCACGCCCACCTATGACGTGGGCCCCACCTACGGACTCACTTCCGTATAAATAGGAAGTAGGCCCGACAATCTGCTCCCATTTTTCTTCAGCACTCCATTGCAGAAGCACTGTCAGGCACACTAAAAAGCAAAGATTCCTCTTCTAAAAAGCTTTGTTCCAATTATTAAGGTAAGTCAGGGCTGTGTTCGGGATTGCCCTTCATGCCAAACAGGATACATTATGAGTTACGACCGGCACTCAAGGTGTGAATTCTGCCTGGGATTGGAGCATGCAAACGCGGCTCTCACTCCCCAGGTGTCGTGCACTCATTGTGTCCGTCTCCCTCTGGCCCACAGACAGCGGAGAGCGGACGCTCTTGCTGCTGCGGCCGAGGATGATTGGACAGTCCAGGAGTCTTACTCCGTGGACGAAGCCCTTGACTTATTGGATCCGAGTGGCGGACAGCAGTCAGGCGACTCCTTCCCCTCCATTCACGGATCACCATGTGGTTCCCCCATCCTCCCTCTCCTCCGGATGGAGGAGACAGGGCAGGGACCTGGTGTCAGCCCAGGTTCGGCTGCCGGGCTGACACCGGGTCCCGGGTCCCTCTCTCCGCCATCACGGCTCTGCCATCGATAGGCGGTATTCTCCAGGAACTCCTGGAGATCATCGGAAAGGCAGCCGCCTGGAGAGATCTCCCCGTTCCCCCGGTTCAGGAGAGCTCTCCTCGTTCCCCCGGTTCAGGAGAGCTCTCCTCCGGATGACATAAAAAATGCCGGCTGCCTCATAACCGGTCGGTTAATTAGACAGCACGGGTTTTTTCCTCTGTCCCAGATGTGCCTCCTACATAGGCCTGTCACGATAATTAATTTTGTTGGACGATACATTTTTCTGGAAATTATTGCGATAAACTATAATATTGTCGGCACCGTTGTAAGACCATTTTAGACCACTGACATAATGATAATATATAATAATAATTCAAGTACATCCTTTCAAACATAACTTTTTATTGAACATTCAACATTGCAAATGAAATGTGAAATAATATTAAAATATATAAATGATATTTAATAAATAAAACAAATTAATTAAATTATAATAAATTCATTAAATCACACACAACCAAAACAATACATTAAATACTCAGGCTGGAAAACAGAGATCTCTCTCTATCTATATATATATATATATATATATATATATATATATATATATATATATATATAAATAAATAAACACATGAGCACACATTGTCTCACAAGCAAACAGTCAGTGTACAGTCCACGGTCCATACAAAGACCCAGATGCCTCAACAGGCCATATCCAAATCTGTTTTTCAAAGTTCTCGAGCAAGGAACACCAACATGTTTGCATTGTCGGGCAAATCATGCATCTTTGATTGTAAACTGTCGGGAAGGTGGGGGCTCTCCATCTCCAGCTGCCGTGTTTGCTCCCAGCTGGGACAACGGAATGGGTAGGTTGTGTTTCAGCTGTAGTTTAAAATGCGTGGTATTGCCTGCTTTTGTCGCTACCTTTTTCAAACAAATGCGACACACCGCCCGGCTCATTCAAGGCCGTAGGTTCGCCTCGTTGATTTGGCTTGAATCCAAAATACTGCCACACCGGAGAATCGAGATGTGTAGTTAGGTTTTGTAACCAATTCCATTTCACTTTAAATTCCCCGCGAGTAAGTCACACGTTGTCTCCCGCTTGTCGCTATATTATTAATTTGGCTGCTACGCTGCTGCACGTGCACGCGGAGTGTCCTGACCTGGCTGTGTGTCAGCCCCGCCCCTCACAGCGCACGTGGCCGGCAGCCACAGCGCTCCTGGCTAAAATGCTGGTCACATCCTTATGTAAACGGCAATTTATCGAGCTCAGAAAAGTTATCGAGTCCATTTTTATTTATCGTACGATAAGTCAATTTATCGATTATCGCGACAGGCCTACTCCTACACACACCTCCGCTCATTCCTCAGCGGGTTTGAGCGTGAACGTGCCTCAATGTCCGGTTTACGAGCCTTCTCCTAAACGGCGACATGATGAGAGCCGCTGTGCAATACAGCGTGTGGAGGCCCCCTCGCAGCCTTTTCGGTCCGGGCCCCCCTTGGGTTGCTTCACGGGCAACGGCGGCGAGGGCTCTGGCGTGGCTCGTCACCATGACAACCACAGCACATCCAGAGCATGTACACCCGCTATCAGAGTATTACTCAGAGTATTACTCAGAGTGGCGGCGCGTGTGTTCGATGGACAGATGGATGATAATAAGCAGCAACGCTCACCGGTTCAGCCGGCTGCCCCTAAACCTGTCGGTTAGTAGGCAGCATGGCTCGCTGCATAAACCGGCTGTCTTTAAAACCTATTGGTTATTAGGCAGCTCGGATTTTTCCTCTGTCCCAGACGTACGACACACGGTCGTAATGAGCCCACGAGTGCCATTATTACACCTCGTGTGGACAGCACTGCACACACCTCCGCTCATCCCTCAGGGGCGTTGAGCGTGAACGCGCCTCAATGTCTGGTTTACGAGCCTTCTCCTAAACTGCGACATAATGAGAGCCTGTGTGAAATGCAGCGTGTGGAGGGCTCTGGCGTGGTTTGTCATCATGACAACCACAGCACACCCAGAGCATGTACGCCCGCGATATATCAGAGTATTACTCAGATTGGCGGCGCGTGTTCCTCAAGGGGAAGAAAATCAGGGGTTTTTACTCCCGCTATATTCTTGTCCCGAAAGAGACGGGGCGGGGGGAATGAGACCCATCCTCGATCTGTCAGTGTCCAACAAGGAAATGGCATTTTCACATGCAGACAATCAAACAGGTGCTGGAGTGTGTTCACCAGGGAGACTGGTTCATTTCCATAGACCTTAAGGATGCATGCTGTGGCTGGCTCGCTCCAGGGAGGAAGTCGCTTTACAGACGGTACAGCTCGTATCTCATCTATCAAGCCTGGGTTTCATTTATAAACTGAAAGAAGAGCTGTCCTCTTCCCTCCCAGATTGGGAGCAGAGTGGAGTACAACTCGGCCACCATGAGAGCGCGGCTCTCACGGCAGAGAGTGGAGAGCTCAGAGCTCACAGCTCCTCATATCTGTTCAGAAACTTGACAAAAGTTAAACAAGTACAAACCACAGAATGTGTGTGTCATGGAGAATACAGTCGCTGGTTTATTTATGTCTGTAGGCCGTTGTTGTGAGTGTGGACGGAGCATATACAACGTTAGCTTAGCCTAATCGATCCGATCTCCATTCAGAAAACATGCATTTTAAAAGGTTTTTCGCCTGCCGTCTTGTCGGCAGACCGGTATCAGTATGTTGTTACTTCGGCATCATGTTGAAACGTGTATTACAATTAAATCACGGTAAAATATGTTCCTTTTGTTGTAGTTGTAGCCCCCTTGCCAGCGATTCTCTCTGACCATTCAGCAGTCGAGAGTGTTTACGTCACTAGTTTAGCATATTCAGCCCGGTTGTTGGCCCGGTAAGAACCTCGATTTTGGAGGGCCAGAAAATAGGTGAAAAGGTAGCCCTGAGCCGGAACTACCCCTAGTGGAAAAGCAAAAAAAAGCATGCTGCGTGCTACGTGCTGCAGTGGAAAAGTGCCATTAGAGGGGCTTGGCCTCTCTCAAGATGTTGTACGTACCATCCAGGGAGCCAGGGCCGCGTCCACCAGGGCATCTTACACAGCCAAATGGACAGCGTTCCAGCGTTGGTGAATAGGGAAAAGCCTGGACCCCGCTACGTGCCCCCTGCCTCACGTGCTGTCATTCCTCCAGCTGTTGTTTGACAGGAATTTGGCTTATAGCACGGTCAAAACATATGCTGCTGCCATTTCATCTGGCCACGTAGGTTTCTGTGTCAGCACGGTGTTTAGTCACCCTCTGACAAAACGCTTTCTACGAGGAGTACAGAGACTCAGACCTGTGTCACGCACTTTAGCGCCTCAATGGGATTTGGCTTTGGTGTTAAGCCCCATTTGAATCTTTAGATCAGGTTCCCCTGACGTTTTTGTCAGCCAAAGTAGCTCTGCTCTTGGCTCTGACATCAGCTAAAAGGGTGAGTGACTGGTCTGCTCTCTCTCTGTGGCTCCGTCATGTCTCCAGATCCAAGCAGATGGCAGCTCAACTGTTTTGCGCCCTAACCCGGCTTTTATGCCAAAGGTTATCACAAGCTCTTTTAGATCGAGAGTGATACATTTGGATGGCTTCTTTCCTCCTCCTCACACATCAGAGGAAGAAGCCACATCTCATCTCCTCTGCCCCGTGCGCGCGCTGTCCTGCTATATTGCACGCACGGCTGCTTTGCGCCGTTCCCAGCGCCTGTTTGTGCATTACAGAGAGCGCTCAATAGGGCAGCCTCTGTCTGCACAATGCCTGTCACACTGGCTGTGTGAGGCTGTGTCACAGGCGTATGTCTCCTCTGGGTTGGATCCCCTGGAGAACATCAGTGCGCACTCCACCAGAGGAATTTCATCCTCTACGGCTTTGCATGGAGGAATGACAGTGGAAGACATTTGCATTGCTGCATCTTGGTCTTCCCCCTGTTCTCTTATGAGAGGGATGTTCCCTTTTTCCTCTCTGACACACTCTGTACCGAGTGTGTTAGATAAAGTGATGTCGGGCCCTCTCTCCTGCCTGTCGGCACGCAGAGAGCGGCCCTTTTCTTCCCCCCTCTTTTATCCTGTGTGACATTCGTCTCTACTTTTCACAACGACAGGTTTGTACCTTCGTCCCCTCATGGAGAATATTCTTATTTTTTTTTTAAAATGCTATATTTCCAGGGACTGTGATGCACCATTATGCACAGTGTAATGAACATGGGTTATTAATTGAGTAGATGTGTTTTTGTGCTTATGGTAACGGTCGGACCAGTGGGGCGTAAACTACATCCTGCTTCGCCCTTAACCCAATAGCGATAGCCTTAGAGAGCGAAGCCTATACGATGTAGAACTGGGGTTACGTACTGTAACCCAGATTCTATGAGTATAGGCGCAGCCCTCTAAGGTTCGGGCCCCACTTGCTCCGCGAATAGCTGAAGAAAAGCTGTTTGTGTGGGAGCAGATTGTCGAGCCTACTTCCTATTTATACGGAAGTGAGTCCGTAGGTGGGGCCCGCGTCATAGGTGGGCATGGATTACAAGTCTTTCAGTGCTGCGCATGCGCAGGGGATTACCCAATAGCGATAGCCTTAGAGGGCTGCGCCTACACTCATAGAATCTGGGTTACCGTACGTAACCCCAGTCCTCCGCTCTGCTCCTACCAGTCGGTCCGGCTTGGTGGCCCACTCCAGAGACAGCAGAGGAGACTTGGACATGATGGTGGCTTTGGTCTGCATGATGGGGTTGAATGACCACACCTGGGGAAGAGGACAATGAAAACATTATTATGGGCTCAATAAGTTATGAATGGTAATATGTGTTTTTATCTTTGCTGGGTTTGCCAAATCCCAAAAGATAAAAGATTCACCTTTATGACTCCGTCTACATCCAAACTGGCAACCCGGCGACCAGAACAGTCAACCCTGGAAAATAGGAAGAGAAATACATGAAGGAGATATCAACGAACATTTTTGGTACAGTTTTTCTCTTCTATGTAACTTTAAAAGCTTTAAAAGCCAGTGATAGTCTAGTTGCCAACATAGTGAACCCGGAAATGTTGAGTATCCCAAAGTTTTATGTTAGAAATGTATTGTAGGGTCCCCAGCACATATAAAATGCCAGATGCTAACCTGGATATGTTGGGCAATTTGTACAATTAGCATAAGTTGCATGAATTACCATTGTAGCTTATGTTGACAATAGTTAAAGGTAGGGTAGGTAAGTTTGAGAAACCGGCTCGAGATACACTTTTTGTTATATTCCATGGAATGCTCTTAACATCCCGATAGCAATAATATCTTAAGTGCTTTGACAAAAAATCCATAAAAAAATGTCATCTGTGGAAGCCGTAGTACTGTAAAAAGCACGACCAATCATTTTAGCCGGCCCGGCTAAAATAACTGGATGGCCTACCTGCCTGTCAGCCTTCCATCTGTGCACAAGCTTATCTCGTGCCCTCATTGGTCATGTGCGCGTTCATGTGTGTTGGAGGAGGGGCTCTATAAGGAAGTGGCAGATTTTCTCCGGTTGTGTATTTTGAAATTCTAGCGATCTCGAGCCGGTTTCTCAAACTTACCTACCCTACCTTTAAGTTTGGAAAATTGTTGAGTGATTCTTTTTTTTTTTTTTAGGATTCTGAATCCAATTCTGACCTTTCCAGGAACCGAAACGGCAGTTTTAACCAGAAAATGCCAGTATTTGTACTCTCTGTGGACTGATTTTGATACATTTTGGGTCGATTTGGAAGATTTATGGGACTCTGGATCATTTGGATTGGAAAGATTGCCTATTTATTTGAAAAAATAATTGTCCACAGTAGAGATAATCATTTTCATCTTGTGCTCCCTATATCCAATGGTTGCAACACTACTCATGGTAGTCAAAAACAGCCCACAGAGAGTACAAACATGGCCACTTTCTGGTCAAAAGTACAGTTTATGAGCCCAAAAAATGTCAGAAATGGAATCATCATTCTCAATAACCCCCAAAACACCACCAATATTGTACAAATTTGCCAAGTAATTTTGTTTTACTATATTCAGCATAGGCTATATTGCCATTCATTTGAATTAACGCAACTTATGCTAATTGTGCAAATTGCCCAACATATGCAAGTTAGCATCCTGCAGTTTCTATGTGCTGGGGACCGTACTATACATTTCAAATCATAAAACTTTGGGTAGTTAACATTTCTGGGTTCCCTATGCTGGCAACTAGACTATAACCTGCAGTTAAAGCTGAATTTCCTGTTCCTTCTGTTATTCAGACACAGATTGAGATGTGAGATACTGCGAGAGGAGGAGAGGGCCCACCTGCAATGCATGATGGAGGAGTGGTGTTCTCCGTACTCCTCCTGGCTCAGTTTGATGAAAGGCTGCTCCGCTGAGAGACCCCCCCTCTCCCTTCCTGATTGGCAGCCCCTGCTGTCTGAGCAGGACTCGGGGGGGTCACTGGAGGTGTCGGGAGGAGGCTCTACCTCCCCCCCCTCCCCTCTCTTCTCTGCTGTCTGAATGTATAAAAAGGAAGGAGGTGGTCAGTAGTGGCGGATGAAGTACTCAAATCTTGTAATATATATGATATGTTTTATAATTATTGATCATTAAAGGAGAGGTGTCATGGCCATTTCCACTGATCATAATTCCATTGTTGAGGTATACTAAAATAGATTTATATTGTGCAATTTTCCAAACTCACATTGGTTTCTCATACAGCATCTCTGTAAACTACGTGTATTCACTGAATTTCACTCTCTGCCTTTAACGGCTCGTTGTAGCTCCAATAGCTCCAGCCCCCACCCTCCCTGTGAGCACAGTGTGCTCTGATTGGTCGGGACGTTGTGAATCGCGCTGAGCTCCGTGGAGGTGTTTCCTTGTTTAGGATACAAAGCGAAACACAGCCAAACTCATCCTGAACACACACAAACTCACAGCCGAAGTAAAAACAATAAGTGTGGCTTGATATTGAGTAAGAAAAAGGTTGATAAACGCTGTGAGAATGGGTCTGCAGAGAGAATTTCGCCACGATCCCAACTGTCTGTTATCAGCCTGCAGCCAGGGAGGAGAAATCAGCAGAGCTGCCTGTGTGTGAGGAAGTCCGTGGATTGGTCAATTTGGACCAATCAGCGGGGGCTTAACGTAACAGCTCCGCGGACGTAACGTAACGGCTCCACGGATTGGTCCATTTGGTTCCGGGTACCGCATGACCGTATCACGTCATAGCTCTGGGCGTGGCTACTGGGTATCCCTACGTAGCGATACCCAGGAAGTAAACAATGGACAATGACGTATCTCCAACGAGGCGTTTTGGGGAGGTATTTTCTGTGTTAGAGTTTTACTTGCTACAGGGTGTACTTTGAGGGTTTTGACTCTGCACACCGTTTACATGCATAAAAACCTTCATAACACACAAGGGGACGGGTAATAACCGGAAAAGCATGACACCTCTCCTTTAACCTGTTAAGCCCTGAGCCTGTTTTTCAGGTCTCAGGCTCGAAAATGACATTCCCAGAACAAATGACCATATCTTCCCTTCTAAAAGGCTTAAATTAATAATATTTTTTCTCAAAGTAATGATAAACCTGTGAGTTGGATGTAGAAAAGTCAGAATCAATATAGATGTTTTTTATTTTAAAGAAAATTCAGATTTTACATAGTAAAAAACTGTAAATTATAGTGTCCGTCCAAAAATTATGTTTTACTTATAGTGAAAACTACCCTTGGATGATGGGTTAGTAGACTAAAAGCTTTAGTAATCCAAAGTACAACATATAATAAGTACCCTGTATCAAGATTGATGCAAAACAAGTGACATGTGACCTTTTTAGAGAGATTTAGCAAAAAGAAACCACTTCTGGGGTCATTTGGGTGGATTTTCCATATCTCTGGCCCCCCTTGCTCGATTTTGATGGTTGACACCTCTTTCTGACCGTTAGAGCCAATAGAATCGAATGGGGAGTCCCTCACACACACTCATTGTGAAAAGAAAAGGTGGGGGCTTCGCGCATGCAGTTTTGCATCAGAGCGAACCTATCTCTAGCTTTGACATCTGGAAACGGAAAAGCAGTTTTATTGCCTATGGATTATCAGAAATCATTTCAAAGGGACACAGACACATTGGATTAACCTATGGATTAACTTCAGCAGCGTTTCTATCATTTTATTGCCATTGAAGACCACTTTGGAGAGACTACAGAGCCAAGGTAAACATTTTAGCATTACTAGCTACCTAGCGTCACCTGTTTTGATGTCCGTTTTTGCTTATAACGTCACCATTTCATATAATTCAGTGATAATGAGTGTACCCATCGATTCTGTGTCACCTCACGATGTGAAACGATGTCATGGATGTAGAGAAAAGATAAATAAGGTTTTGTGAGTGCTTTTCGGTGCAGTAAGGTGTTAGCATTTTTCGCTCGTTGCTAATTCAGAGGCTCAGTGTTAGCATTGTGGGTTTTCTTTTGAAAAAAAAAAAAAAATGATCAGTTAGATGAGTTTCTTCCCGTTACATGGATATAAAACATTCATAGTTTTATTAAATGAACATGCCCTCAGACACTGTTTCCTGCAAGATGTTGCGGCAGTGCCCCGGTACCGGGGTCTCTCGGGCTTAACAGGTTAAAGTGTTATCAAAGCTGGTAACTATAACTTGAATTTATATAGCGCCTTTCATAACCTCAAGGTCGCTTTACAAAGAAACGTACAAGGACAAGACATAAAACATAAAAACATAAACATAAAACAGGGGGCAGAAATGGAAGTGTAAGTGGGGGGGAGATTGAGTTATTGTTGGAAGGCGATGTTGAACGTATGAGTTTTAAGGGTTGATTTGAAGATGTTGAGAGAAGGGGCGTTGCGGATTTCTGCAGCGAGGGAGTTCCAGAGGGTGGGGGCAGCGACACTGAAGGCACGGTCCCTGAAGGTGCTGAGGCGTGAAGGTGGAATGGAGAGCAGGCCAGAGTCTGAGGATCGAAGGGTGCGGGACGGGATGTATGGGTGGAGGAGATCTGTGAGGTACTGAGGGGAGAGGGCATGGAGGGATTTGTCGGTGAGGAGGAGGAGTTTGTAAGTGATGCGGGACTTGACCGGGAGCCAGTGGAGGTTGAGGAGAGTGGGGGTGATGTGCTGCCAGCGCTTGGTGCGTGTGAGAACCCTGGCAGCTGAGTTCTGGATGTACTGGAGCCTGTCCAGGGTTTTGCTGGGAACCCCGGACAGGAGTCCGTTACAATAGTCCAGGCGTGAGGTAATAAAACAATGTATCAGCTTCTCTGCAACGGACAGTGATGGCCGGAGTCTTGATATATTTCTGAGGTGGAAGAAGGCTGATGTAGAAACGGATTTGATGTGGTTTTTAAATGAGAGGGTTGAATCCAAGACAACACCAAGGTTGCGGACCTGAGGGGATGGGGAGATGATGGAACCGTCGATGTTGAGGAGCAGATCTCCAACCTTCCCGAGCAGTGCCTTGGGGGCCACAACCATGAGCTCAGTTTTATCACTGTTTAGTTTAAGTAGGTTGGTGGTCATCCAGGTTTTAATTTCGTGTAGGCAGTTGATTAGTGACTGAGGGGGAGATGGGCAGAAGGTTTTGTGCTGATGTACAGTTGGGTGTCGTCGGCGTAGGAGTGGAAACAGAGACCATGGCTGCGGATGATATCACCAATCGGAAGGATGTATATTGTGAATATGAATGACTTTGTATACTGCAGGCTAGCTTGTGAATTTACTCCAGGTGTAACTAAAGTCTGATTTAAGACTTGATTATATTTCACATCATTAATCCAAATCTGTAAAGTAACTAAGGGTACAAAATAAATGTAGTTGAAAAGTAAAAGAAGGCTACTCCAAGTATTTCAAAATTGTACTTAAATACAGTACCTGAGTAAATGTACTTAGGTACTTCCCACCTCTGTCCTACTGAGACACAAGCTTTTTATGTATGACCTCATGATAAAGGAAGTTCCTAGTGTTGCTGGAGTGCTTCTCTAAAAAAATTACTGTTTCTCAGCGGTACCACTGACAATTGTTAATTTTAACATGGAACAGGAAAATAAGGTCTGCAAATTAAACATGTTGTGCCTTTCTAAAACAAATCAAATAGTAGGCTTACTAGCTTCTGGCTAAAGCAACTGTAGACTAGAGGGCATGATTGTAAAAGTCTCTCACCAGTAAAATACCTCGACAGTTAAATGCCATTCTACGTTTCATTACTATACGATACAGTATTTATTATCATTATTCATAAATTCATAAACTCAAGTACTATACTTGGGTAAAATGTTGAGATACTTGTACTTTACTTAAGTATTTCAATGTTTTGCTACTTTGTACTTCTACTCCTCTACAATTCAGAGGTAAATGGTATGTAATACCTTTAGTTACTTTATAGATGTGGATGAATGATGTGAAATATAATCAAGTGTTAAATCAGACTGTAGTTCCACCTGGAGTAAATTCACAAGCTACCCTGCAGTATACAAAGTCATTCAAACTAGCTGCGCCTTTACCAGCTTTGATAACACTTTAATGATCAATCATTATAAAACATATCATATATATTATTCTGAAATGGACCAATCTGCACAATGACTACTTTTACTGTAGCTACTTTAAGTATATTTTGATGATAATACTTTTGTACTTTTACTTGAGTAACATTTTGAATGAAGAACTCTTACTGTAACAGAGTATTCCTACACTCTGGTACTTTAAAGTGGACCTATCATGCTATATTTAAATGATATATTGTAGGGCCATACCTATATAAGGTATATTTATACGTTTCTGTTTTCAAAATACCAAACAGATCATGCATTTTAGCCATGCCTCATTTCGCTCTATGTGCTGTTTGCTGTCTACGGGTCTGATTCTGCTGACCACGCCCCCCTGCAGGAGAGGGGAGACGTGCTCTGATCAGCTGCTGGGCTGTCAGAAGAGGGGGAGAAAAAGAGATCTCCGTCCTCCGTGTTTTATTATATAGAGTCGTTATTCATTTGTTTTAAAGCTGAATAAATAACAAAGAAGACCTTTGACCGGCACTTTTCTAATTTTGTCCGGAAGATTTAAACTTTAAACTTGACCGGTGAAAGTAACTGAAACTGAAACTCTGCCGCACGGTCCCCTCGTTCCTTGGAAGAGGCGGAGAGGTGGGTGTTTGTCATCTGCTGGTGGACTAACCGGAGAGAATTACAGTGCTTGCCTCGACGGGGAGGGATTGCATTGCAGCGGGAGCAAACGCTTGCCTCGGGGAGGGAGAAAAAAAGCCACAGCGGAGAATAAACAGAAGGGTAACCATGGTAACTATGGGCGGGAAGTCTTCTTTGCTGCTTTTGTGGCAGACTACAGCGCCACTTACAGGCCTGGCATATGTACTACAGCGTCTCCAGCGCTTTCGAGCGGCAATGGCCGGCCGTGGCCTAACCCCACATTCCCCTGATAGGTGGAGAGTTGGCCCAATAGCCGTAGCGCCACCGTCCTGACGTCAGTAACGTGTTCAAATCTGGATCAGTTTTATCAGATCCGTTGCAGCCCCTTTTTTAGAGATTTGGGTATGGAGGAAAATAGAGAGGGTTGTGTGTGCATTTTGCATGATAGGTCCCCTTTAAAGGGGACCTATCATGCAAAATGCACTTTTGTACGTCTTTTATACATGAATATGTGTCCCCGGTGTTCCAGGGAACTCACCAAGTACCATACCCAAATCTCTAAAAACGGGGCTGCAACGGATCTGATACAGACTGATACAGATTTGAAATTCCTCTGACGTCAGGAACGAGGAGCTCCGCCTATATGGCCAACTCTCCACCTATCAGGGGAATGTGGGGTTGGGCCACGGCCGGCCATTGCCGCTCGATAGCGCTGGATACGCTGTAGTACATATGCCAGGCCTGTAAGTGGCGCTGTAGTCTGCCACAAAAGCAGCGAAGAAGACTTCCCGCACATGGTTGCCATGGTTACCCTTCTGTTTATTCTCCGCTGTGGCTCTTTTTCTCCCTCCCCGAGGCAAGCGTTTGCTCCCGCTGCTGTAATTCAATGCAATCCCTCCCCGTCGAGGCAAGCACTGTAATTCTCTCCGGTTAGTCCACCAGCAGATGACAAACACCCACCTCTCCGCCTCTTCCAAGGAACGAGGGGACCGTGCGGCAGAGTTTCGGTTAGATTTTCTTTCGCCGGTCAACATGTCCGTTAAAATTTAAATCTTCCGGACAAAATTAGAAAAGTGCCGGTCAAAGGTCTTCTTTGTTATTTATTGAGCTTTAAAACAAATGAATAATGACTCTATATAATCATATAAGAATAAAACACGGAGGACGGAGATCTCTTTTTCTCCCCCTCTTCTGACAGCCCAGCAGCTGATCTCAAAGCACACTCCCCTCTCCTGCAGGGGGGCGTGGTCAGCTGCAGCTCACAGAATCAGCCCCCTGCAAAAACAGTGCTGGAAAGAGCAAATAGAGCGAAATGAGGCATGGCTAAAATGCAGGATCTGTTTGGTATTTTGAAAAAAAAACTATATTTATATACTTTATATAGGTATGGCCCTACAATATATTGTTCAAATATAGCATGATAGGTCCACTTTAACTCAAGTACAAGATCTGAGTACTTCTACTTTTACTCTAGTACAATATCTATACTTATACGACCTCTGTTTATAGCCTATGAAAAAAACTATTAGAAAACGAAGGCTAAAGCTAACGTTAGCAGATAGTGACAATGTATGTTAGTTAGCTAGCTCAACGATTCCTTAAAGTGGACCTATCATGCTATATTTGACTAATATAGTGTAGGACCATACCTATATAAGGCATATTTATACTTTTTTTTTTGCAAAATACCAAACAGATCATGCATTTTAGCCATGCCTCATTTTGCTCAATTTGAATTTGTTTAGCTCTGTGTTTGTAAGGGCAGATAAGGGCAGAACAGCACCATCTACAGGCCTGGCATATGTACTACAGCGTCTCCAGCGCTTTCGAACAGCAATGGCCGTGGCTGTCTACTCCTGATTGGTGGAGTTGGCCCAATAGCCGTAGCGCCACTGTCCTGACGTCAGGACAGTGTTCAAATCTGGATCAGTTTTTATCAGATCCGTTGCAGCCCCTTTTTTAGAGATTTGGGTATGGAGGAAAATAGACAGGGTTGTGTTTTCTGACACTTGGTGAGTTCCCTGGAACACCGGGGACAAATATTCATGTATAAAAGATGTACAAAAGTGCATTTTGCATGATAGGTCCCTTTTAAATAATATTGCGACAGAAAAACTTTTCAGTGCACATCACGCTCTGCCGCTCCGACAGGGAGCTCTGCTCTGAACACCTGAACTGTTCCAACAGCTGTCCAGTCCAGTCTGTGCCACAGTAACTCCGCACAGTTACTGTTAACGAACGCACCGTAGGTAATGAACTAGCCAAGGTAACCCGCCCCCACCTTATCACCTGAATCTCCTCCTAGAGCGCCATTGTGTTCTTTTTAACCAAATATCTCGCAGAGGGGCGTGGGGAGTGGCTCCTTATTTTCATCTAAAGTAACAGACAGAGAATCAGCACTTTTGAAACAGGGCTGGAACAGAGGGATTTATGGGATGCTACAATGGGTGATCTGTTTGGTATTTGGTGCCAAACACTTTAGAGACATGTTTTGTTTTGTATATATCTGAGACCTATAATATATTGATTAAAAACAGTATAATAGGGGAGCTTAAATAAAGATTGACTGGACAGGGAAACTGAATTTTGTAAAGACACCACAAGGTACCTGTGCTGGTGGTTTGGAGAAAAGCTCCCGTCTCTCCTTCTCGTGGTCCTGGACCCTCTTGTGTCGGGGATGTGAGGAGGGGTGTGTTGCCTGTTGGGGCTGTGAGCTTGCAGCTTCACTGAGGGAGGCCTGGCTGGAAACTGGCTTTACCTCCTTAGCTTGGAAACCATCCTTTGACTTTGCAGGCTGGAAACATAAACTCATTTTATACAGAGAAGATATCAGGTCAGAATTCCATCAGCCACTCACAATGTTTAAGACCTCCAATATGGCAGCCAGAGACGATAGACAATTCCCATACAGGGTTCTTACACCTTTTCCAAAGTCAAATTCAAGCACTTGTCAAGCATTTTCAAGGTGCATTTTCAAGCATCTTACAGCTGTTGTAAATTACATATTTATATACACATACTTATACTCAAATGATTATTTCCCTACCTCACATTAAATCAGATGTTCTTTATGCTATAAACAACCAAATGTGTGTTTCATGATAGCATTCTACATGAGGATGAAAAATGTTAGAAAAGAAAACTAAGTTTAATATTTCAAAATGAGTGACCCATCTGTACGTAGACTGGGCCTCCCATATAACTCTGGCTGAGCCAATATAAAACAATCAGCCAAATACATTTTCAATACATTATTGATTACTATTTTTGAGGTACTTTTAGGTTGGCAGTAAATATAAGTCAGAGGTAAATGGTGCACTTTTACTCCACTACATGTATTTAATACCTTTAGTTACTTCACAGATGTGGATGAATGATGTGAAATATAATCAAGTGTTAAATCAGACTTTAGTTCCACCTGGAGTAAATTCACAAGCTACCCTGCAGTATACAAAGTCATTCAAACTAGCTGCACCTTTACCAGCTTTGAGAACACTTTCATGATCAATCATTATAAAACATATCATATATATTATTCTGAAATGGACCAATCTGCACAATGACTACTTTTACTGTCGCTACTTTCACTATATTTTGATGATAATACTTTTCTACTTTTACTTGAGGAACATTTTGAATGCAGGACTTTTACTGCAACAGAGTATTCCTACACTCTGGTACTTCTACTTTTACTCAAGTACAAGATCTGAGTACTTCTACTCAAGTACAACATCTGAGTACATCTACTTTCACTACAAGATCTGAGTACTTCTACTTTTACTCAAGTACAATATCTGATCACTTATTCCACCTCTGGTAGTGTGTTAGCCTGAATTGTAGCCACAAAATCACGCAGAGCTGCATAAAAATAGACTCACAATGGTAACAAGTGGAAAATAATATTTACAAATGTGTACAATGATTTGTAGGTAATTTTGACTAGTCAAGACACCATCTTCAAAGGAAGACTGTGTTCATTCTACAATTACATGGGATTAAAGCAAAATGTAGTTTTACTTGTATAATACTTCAAGATTTTATATCAAAGCCTGTTTCTAAAAGTATCAACCATAGCGACGCGGTCAAATCCTCAGTTTATAATTTATAACAACATACTAACAAGCTACGGTCTAATTACGCAACCAAGTAGTATGTTTCGTGCCTGCGTCTTTTTGTCTGGTCGGGTCTTGGAAGACCGGAAGCTGTGGGGTTCATAAAAACATGTTCTTACTCAATATCAAGCCACGATTATTGTTTTTATTTTAAATCGTATAATGTCTGGCTTTTTTTGCCGTCTGTTAGGAAAAGAAATGGGGCTCAGAGCCTCAGAATACTGAAATCTGTATTTATTTTTTTCTTTCCAATTGGTTATTATTTGTGACCCACTCTATCGAAATCAGTCAAAAGTCGCAACGATAGTTACGTATGTAACTACGGTTCTATGAATACTGGATGACCGCCAGAGGCGGTGCTTTAGCACTGGATATCTTCTGTCTCGCGCATGCGTAGGTCGAATATTTATATCAACAAAGTCACGTGTGACCCCGTATGACACCGGAAGATATAAGTTCCGGTGCTGTCAACGGGCTCAGTCCTATGGAATCTTCTCGCAGAAACACGAAATTCCGAGTGACCAAGAACTCTGGCGGTCATCCAGTATTCATAGAACCGTAGTTACATACGTAACTATCGTTCTATTTCATACTTACTGACCGCCAGAGGCGGTGCTTTAGCACTGGATGACCTATATCAACAGAGTCACGAGGAAGTCTGAATACTCACCTATAAGGATGGCCTAGACGGACTCTGCAGGAGGACCACACCCAGCGGGTGAGGGGCGGCAACATTCACCCTGTAATATCTGGCGAATGTGCTCGGATATGCCCATGTGGCCGCAGCACATATGTCCTCCAGGGGCACACCTCTCCAGGTCGCCCATGATGTGGAGACACTTCTGGTAGAGTGGCACTTTACTCTAGGTGGCAAGGGACGGTCATTCGCCTTGTATGCCTGGGCAATGACGTCCACGATCCAGTGGGACAAGCGCTGTTTTGAGAGCGCACAGCCCCTTCTAGGACCACCGTAACACACAAAGAGCTGCTCAGACTGACGCATGTCAGCGGTAGTCTGGACATAAGCTCTAAGGGCCCGCACCGGGCATAGGAGTCTCGACCTCTCTTCCCCCTCTCCTGATGGGGGGTCAAACCGTGCCAGCTGGATAGGCCGATTAAAATGAGAGCGTGCCAGCACCTTAGGGAGGAACGCTGTGTTCGGCCATAAGGTGACACCTGAGCCATCTGAGTTCCACCTCAGACACGAGCTGTTCACAGACAAGGCCTGAAGCTCGCTTACACGTTTTGCTGAGGTGATGGCAAGAGGGAAAGCAGTCTTAGCTGAGAGCCACTTCAGTTCTGCCTGTAACAAAGGTTCAACAGGAGGCAAGCATAGGGCATCCAGCACCAAGGGCAGGTCCCATGTAGGGGCCCTTGGGATATTCGGGGGGCGAAGCCTCAGAGCTCCCCTTTAAAAAGAGGGATACCAGCCTATGGCTCCCCACTGTGCTGTTGTCAGCCCTTGCGTGTTGAGCTGATATAGCAGCCACATACACCCTGACGGTAGCGGGACACCGGCCGTCGTCCAGGAGGGACTGAAGGAACTCAAGGGTCGTAGGTACCGAGCAATATGCTGGGTCCTCATTTCGCCCTTGGCACCAGTCAAAAAACAGTTTCCACCTGTTTTCGTACTGCCTACGAGTAGGTTGTGCCCTAGCATTTGAGAATAGTCTTCCTGACAGACTCTATGCAGTCGCTCAGCAGTGGGTCGGGCCCAGTGGCCAGACCCACAGCTGGAGGTGGCAGGGGTCGGGGTGCCACATCCGACCCTCCAACTGAGACAAGAGGTCCTTCCTGTTGGGGAGACGCCAAGGCGTCCCACAGCAGAGTCTGTGCAGCAGATGGACAGGTCCGCACCTAGCTGGGTTAAACAAGGAAGTTTAACAGGACAGCCTAGCCAGGCAGCTGCTGCTATAATGAAGCAGCGCGTCTATCAGGAGCGGGGGCGAGAACACCGCCCTCACTGGTTGAGTTAATAACGAATGCCAGATGCAGCGTAGGCGGGAGCGGAGTGCGACAACACAGCCTTCACCAGCTACCTGCTGAACGGAAAGAGTAGAGCAACGCTCCTACTCGCCGAACACAAAAGGGATGTAACTACACCCATGTTACCAGCAGAGGGAGCGGGAGCGAGAGCACTGCCTTCACCTAGCTGGAAAAAACAAGAAGTTTTAGCAGGACGGTTTATCCAGTCGGCTGCTGCTAGAATAAAGCATCACGTCTACCAGGAGTGGGGGCGAGAACACTGTTTTCGCTGGTTGAGTGACTGTGTCCAGAGCCACCCCAATGAAGGTTAGGCTCTGAGAGGGGTTCCGACAACTCCTCTCCATGTTCACCTTGAGGCCTAGCCGGGCGACATGAGAGAGAAGGAGAGCCGTGTCCTGGATCGTCTGTAACCGGGATGGTGCACAGATTAACCAGTCGTCCAAGAGAGGGAGAGTCCAAATGGGAGCACCCTGAACTGGAAATGATGATCTCTGAAGGCAAAGCGAAGAAACTGCCTGTGATGAGGCACAATAGGCACATGACAATAAGCGTCCTTCAAGTCGACGGACGTGAACCATTCCCCCCTGGCCACGGTACGAAGAACGTCCGCTGTGCTCAGCACATGGAAAGGTCAAATCCTTAGGAACTTGTTGAGACTCCTCAGATCGAGGATTGGGCGAAGTCCACCGCCTTTCTTCCTTACCAGGAAGTAGGTCGCGTAGAAGCCCGGACTGTGAGATGGGGTCCACAGGCTTGATTGCACCCTTGGCAAGGAGGACTGACAGCTCCTGGTTTAGGGCGATTTATTTTGCCGGGTCGCTTATGGTGGTCATTTTGACCCGGCTGAAGACTGGGGCCAGCGTCGGAACTGAAGCTTGTACCCTTGATTTAAGGAAGCGCTAAGAGCATCCTGCTGCAGGGAAGCTGAGAGGGCGAGCATGAGGTGCCTACACGGCCCATGCGCGCCGCTGCATCGTAAACCTTAGTGAGCAGGTCATCAGTGACCCGACATTGGAGTCGAGGGCACCTGGCCTCCGACCTCAGGGCTTCGTCAGGGGAAACTATGAGGGAAGCAATGGTAGGCTCAACAGCCGGCGTGTGGTCAAGGCCAACTCTTGCCGCATCCTGCATGGCTACCAAGGCTCGGCCATCGGACGTAAGACTGTAAAGAGCCTTAGTGTCCCTCCAGCATGCATGTAACTCCCTCAGATACTCACAAGAGGGAGGAACAGTGCGGGTGGCGGGTGCCGGAGTGCGCCTAAAGAACGCACTGGCAGGCGCTGTTTCGGGAATGGAGAGCCAAGAGGAGTGACCTCATCTGGGCTAGCTCAGTCGTGAGTAGGTCTACCCTGGAGGACAGCCTATCAGGCTTAGTCCTCTTCTTGGGCGGTGCACCCGCAGCCTCTGCGGCCCAACGCCTAGGATGGGTAGGTTGGGCTGGAGTCGACTGTGCGGGGGGAAGGCCACCCTCAGTCAGTAGTTCAACCTCGGCAGCTCTTACCGCACGAGGCATGATGGTGCAATTCATGCACGGGTCCTCCGAAAGGCCCTCCCTCAGATGCTCGAGGCCAAGACAAGAGGGGCAAAGGTCATGGCCATCCTCTGGTTAAAGAGGAGCCATACAGGTGTTAGAGCCGTTAGACCTAGCGATAGCTAGAGCACTCAGCTGCCTGTAAATAACTGGCCAGGAAACAAA